TTAATGGTTTACCCGAAATTTTTTTATAAATAACTAACTACTGAAGATGACCACAACCAGATGGTCGAAACGTCTAGATTGACCTAAACATTTGTTATAATATATCAATAAATTAAGCACGAAAATCCAGCTTGGGCTCTGTAGCTTGTTGTTAAAATTTTATTTGAATAATTTGAGCCAATATTATAGTTTTAATTTATTTAATAAATTTTTTTTTTAAATTTATTAAGTGGAAATATTTTAATAGATTTCTATGTCACCCATGAGGTACTAATACTGACACGTTTTTCAAAAAGTGGTTTCTATCTACATTATTGCATCAATTGTTCATTTTCATAAAAGGCCAAGAAAATCTAATTAAGAAAATCTCTTTTATATATATATTTTTTAAATTAAGAATTTATTTTTATCTTTAGTGGAATAGGTCTACGGGGGAAACTACTTTTAAAAAAACGCGTCAGCATTAGTATCTTATGGGTGACGTGGAAATCTATTGAAATATTTCCACTTAATAAATTTAAAAATAAAAAATTTATTTTTAATAAATTTTAATACATTTTTTAAATTTTAATAAATAGGGAGAAGAACCCACTCATAATCAGATAGTGTCCTAACGCTCGACGGCGCTGACCCTAGCGGCTGCGGCGCGCGCGGTAAGGAGAGGAAAGGAGGCGTATACCACGGAAATCGGCTGAAATGTTCAGACTAATTCCGAGCACTGCTTTACGGCATAGAAATGATTACTTTTACGGATTATATCCAGAGAAGAAACGAATCGAAAGAACGTTTAATATCATCGATGGCATACAAACGCGCGAACTAGGAGTTTGTATGGCAAATACACGCTATTTATCCGAGAATATTTTATGCTATTTGCTCGCTCGCTTTCGCGCACTTTTATAATGGACAAACCCACTAATTACCATACATGACAGAGCATCACGCGCATACGTGTATCGTGATTGCGATTTCATTGCACCTAATGTTTATCCTCAATAAACGTTCCAATTTTCAGCACGGCACCGGCAAATCGAACCAATTAGCGACGTCGGTACCTCGCATTAAACTGCGGAGAGCTTGCAGACAGCAACCAGCTCTCATTCAAGCGTCAAGACCTTTCGCCTCGGCGTCCGCCAACTGTGGATGTCGTGACAACGATCATCAGTTTAGAATAATGCCGGTAACGAAGTCGATCAGAATCAGCGATAATTCGCAGTGCATTAAACAGATGCCCGGTAATGTCAAGAAACATTTCGTTAGGACAATCAACGACGGAATCAGCAATCCGGAATCGCCGTATGTCGATCATCAGCAAGCTATTCGCAACTATTTAAATCAGACGGTGCCAACGCAGCAACATCCTCGAGTGCGAGATCGCATGCCTTGCCAAGATAAATACGGCTTCGCCGACGAGAAAATCGATACTCGTCTAAAGAGTATGGCGCGCGGTTCTACAGGCAGATCACAGCCGAGGCACAGCTTCGACGATGGCTGCGTCGTCATGATGAGATCGTCGACGACGTGCGACAAGCCGAGGTTCCTGGACAGCTACAGTCAGAGCCACGGCGTGATAGCCGCATCTATCTACAAGGATCTCTGCAACGGGACTATAAAGTGGTAAGCGTGTGATGAGTGGGCGGGCTTCGCGAAAGAACGAGACAATAGTCTCGCGTGAGAGGCTATTGTAATCCCTATTATTAAATCCCGTATGACGATTGCTCTGCTTTTTTTTCTCCACAGCAAAAGTTTCCACTGTGATCCACAGGATCTTTTCAATTTTTTCTGGTCAGTACGATTTAAGTCTTGGGGACTTTTGCGTGCGATGAGTTTGTAATTAGATCCAGCGGAATAAATCCGCGGTAGAAATTCTTCTGACTTATATCGGCGAAAATATAAAAAATGTATCACGCTCTTATAATTTTTCTTCAATATATTTCTTTTAAAATTAATATTTTTTAATCATTTTTACTTATTTCTAGTAAACATATTTTTGTGGGAAATGTTTGCTTTATAATCTATTGAAATGCAAACGATAATGTGAAAACAATAGATTAAGAAAATTGTTAATAATTTTGATAAGAAACAGACGGTCGTCATTGACTTTTCGTGAGAGTTCGCTCGTTCATTTTCACGCAAGGAGCAAGCCGCCTCATGTAGCGCAAGATTTTCAAATAAATAAGTAAATTTTGCACAAGATTAACATATAATTAACGCTATAAACCGCGTTTGATATTTGAAGTTCCTATGGGAATAATTATGAGAACGATGCGTAGGCCGAGAGCGACATAAATAAAAATTTGCAAGTAAATGCAATCTTTTAAGGCTCATCACCTTGACTACCTCAACTTTTCATATCGCATAAAATATTGAGAAAAAAAAGATAAACCCTGGTGTAAAAGTTCTCTCTCTCTTCTAATAACGACAACGTGACAATAACGAGATCGAATTCTTTCTCAATGGAAAGAGAAAGGCATCCGTTTCAAGAAGACCAAGACGATAGAAATCGAGGTTGCGGAAGATCATCCCATGGGAATTCGAAGATCACGTAGGGGCGTTTAGCGTGTAAGGTAGGCGTACAGGAAGCGCGATACGAATGTGAGGCCATATAGCAGAAAATGCGTGACACACATTTTTCTATAATATTTTATTGATACGACGCGGAGATATATGGAGGAGATATATAGCATACACATACCATGTATCACTATACATATCCGTTGTCAATTTAGTGTACAAATCTCATTATATCATATTTGTGTCGTCGGTACTTTTGTGCAGCGACGCTTAACAGCGTTCGGACTCGTGTGTACTATAAATGTGAGAATAAAAAATTTTAATTAAAAAAATCTTTAATGCACGCGTATATCTTTTCCCCGCGAGCTATCAGCTCGGATTAGTCATTATCATTGATAATAAATTTTCAAGTTTTATATGAAGTATTTTGAGTTTAATTGCAAAAATGTAAAGAGTATTATTAAGCACTTTGGGCTCGATTAATCGACCGGTAATTCGAAATCAATTTTAATTGAGAATTCAACTTGGATACTCTTGAATTTCTACGCTTCACACACCAAGTGAAGTGCGAGCTTGTGAATGACGGCCATTAGTTCATTTCGGTTCTGTCGAATGGATCGTGCAAATGGAAAACACCATTAAAGACCGCAGCTGATATCCTATTCGACTTACTCAGCTGATCTCGAGCTCTCTTAGCCACTGGATCACCGCAGCTCTCCGAGAAGAACTACTATCGTCTCTTAACGTCGTCAAACGAATCAGATCCGTTTTTATTTTCTTTTCGACGCGTTACGAGCCGCTTAACGTTTCCTGGATGAGCACTGATGAGGAGAATGAAAACGAATCGATCGCCACATCTACCTCTGGTCTGTATCATTCCTTGCTATCGTGAAAACACATTGTCTTTTTCAGCAAAATAGCATATACATGGCCGCTTTTTATCTTTTTTGCTATATATCTCACGTCTTCACGGTTTTCATCGCATAGAAATATACGTTGTGCATACGCGAACGCGCGTGCAGCGCATATTACGCCATTCAGTGCGTTCAGTGTATGTGTATCGTTAACATTACATACTTCTTGAGAAAGTATTCCCCGTAAAAAGCAGATAAGGTTAAAATGAAATTAGTGGGGATCCCCCTTTGAAAGAGTTATACATTTGTAATCAGCTCCCCTAATCGCACAAGTGTCTGTATAGATACTTTTATATCCTTTCCGTTTTTTCTCGTCTCTCGTTTTTTTTTGCAGTTCTTCGGACTTATCAATTTGTGTGTATGCGTGCAGGTAAGAGTTCTGCGTTTTTATCATTGGAATTCGAAACATTTTCTAACTTTTATCGAATTCTGAATGACTCGAATGGCTTGTTTAAATCAACATTTTGTAATTAAATGGAGAAGTTTTAAAATATGAGTCGATGTTTCATGAGAGAACGACAGCAAAAGAAACAAAAATATGCGCCTTCAATTTTTCTCTTTATTTTGCAGAGATGTCAAATCTCTCTCTCT